CATCATTTCAGGAAGGTTAGGGTGTTGCAGGTCTAGAGCCTAATTATAACTTATCTTCACCTTACCTTTAGCCCACTTAATTCCTGCTCTACCTCTGTGTCTGTTCTGACATGCTTGTCACTATCCGGTGAAGCTTTTAGAGGAAGACCACTGTCTTCCACTAAGCAAAAGGCTAAGAATGACATGAGATGCCATCTGAGGCCCATGGCACAGATTTTCCTACTGATACCAGGGAAGTCTGGGTCCCATTTTGGGGTTCTTAGCCTCATTGATAAAACAATTTGAGAATGTACTCAATGAAAACTTCTAGGACAATTTAATTAGAGGTTAAAAAGAAAAAATCCCAGAGCAGACCAGCTCTAAATCTCAGCAGCTCCCTGGAGGAGGAAGATAGTGAAGAGAAAGGGGGATGGGGTGGAATGACGAAGCCATGCTGCTTGGCTTTAGCTAGTATGGAGGCCAGACACATGGCAGAGTCAGCCACATGATAGGGATAGAGCTTTAGAGATAGTGTGGGCCTCAGAGTGTTAGGAAAAGGAGGCTTAGACAAGAGATAGAAGAAAAGGGGAAGCTAAACTATCTGAGAAATTCAGAAAAGTTGACAGACATAGGAGACTGCATAGCTGCTGCCCTGCAAGCCACTATGATAGGGAACAGGCCTACTTCGTGTTTTGACAATGTATGGCAGACAGGTACTATATACAAGTCTACCTCACTAGTTTAAATAGCTACTTTACCACACTATACTACCAACAGTAAAGATGTGAACGAAAGATTTCGTGAACACTTTTCTAATTAAGAATAGACAAGTGGCAGGGCGTGGTGGCATGTGTTTAATCTCAGCACTCTGGAGGCAGAGGCAGATAGAACTCTGTGAGTTTGAGGTCAGCCTGGTCTACATAACAGAGTCCCAGGCCAGTCAGGGCTACATAGTGAGACCCCATCTTTTTTTTTTAATTTTTTTATTGGATGTTTTATTTACATTTCCTATGTTGTCCCCTTACCCCATCCCCCACCCACCCGGGAACCCCCTATCCCCTTACCCCTCTTCCTTCTTCTCTGTGGATGTAACCCCTACCTACCCCCCCACTCCCACTTCCCCTCCCTCAAAATTCCCACCCCCTGGGGCGTCCAGCCTACATGAGGTCAAGGATCTCATCTTCCACCTATGCCCAGCAGGGCCCTCCACTCTTACATATTCAGCTGAAGCCCTGGATCCCCCCCTAAGTGCTCCCAGGCTGGTGGTTTAGACCCTGGGAGCTGTGGTTGGTTGGTATTGTTGCTCTCCTCATGGTGCTGCAAATCCTTTCAGCTCCTTCAGTCTTCACTCTAACTCCTCCATTGAGAACCCCATTATCATTTCAATGGCTAGTTGTGAGCATCTGCCTCTGAATATGTCAGACTCTTGAAGGCCTCTGAGGAGACATCCATATCAGGCTCTTATCAGCATGTACTTCCTGACTTCCACATCAGCATCTACCTTTGTTTTTGTTTTGGTTTTTTTTCGGTTTTTCGAGACAGGGTTTCTCTGTATAGCCCTGGCTGTCCTGGAACTCACTCTGTAGACCAGGCTGGCCTCGAACTCAGAAATCCACCTGCCTCTGCCTCCCAAGTGCTGGGACTAAAGGCGTGCGCCACCACTGCCCGGCCAGCATCTACCTTTGGTGACTGCACATGGGATGGATACTCAGGTGGAAAGGTCTTCAGATAGCCCCTCCTTCAGTTTCTGTCGTGAGACCCCATCTTAAAAAAAATGTTCACACGGTCATGTACCCACCACCACCATACACCACACATGCACATGCACACGCACACGACATGGTTGGTGACTTACACAGACCTGTAACTCCTTATTCTGGCCTTGTGAGCACTGCATGCATGCAGGCACATACACAGGCAAAGCACCCATACTCTTACAGAGTAGGAATGTATGTGACATGAATCTGTTTTTTAAACACATTGATCTGTTGTCTTCCTACTGTAATATTTACACAAGTTTAGTCCTGTCTTTAGTATCCTGGTGAACCCAGTGACCTTAACACTTCTACCTCGGTCATCTTAAATCGACATGTTAATGTACTGACTGTGTAACGTATATCATATTAATAAATTGCCATGTGCTTTTGAGATCATCGAGATGTTTGGCTCTGAAAGTGGTTTGGCCCTGATTTCAGACTCAAGCATATTTGTCTCCAAGTGCTCTCCAAAGCCTCTTGTCTGGGGATGGGCTGACCTCCCTGAGTCTCCAACAGGAGGGAGAGTACAGCAAAGCATCCCCAAGTAAAAACACGGTGTCCTTGAGAACAGGTAGAAGGTAAACAGTTTCCAACAGATCTTTCTATTGCTTAACCCAAGATACAAAACGTGCCTGCTGTAGGAAAAAGAATCCGGAAGTTCAGCCCTGGGAGCTCAGCCATGGAGAGAAAGCTCATTCAAAACCTTCAGCTGACCACCTCATCCTTTTTCAGTTGGTTTTTGATGAGTGTAAGCTCCGGAGTTGATGATGTTATCGCTACCTGTTCTTATTTGGTTCTAAAAGCCTCACTTGAAAGGGAGTGGAACATACTGCCCTGCCAAGGGACTCTCAATAGGGTGCTGTCTGTATGGAGAACTCCAGTTAATTGCCTTAAGATCAGTTCCTCAGTCAGTTTCTGCCAGATATTTTGAGTGTCTGATTTGATGATAATTTTCTATTTATCATCTGTCTGTCTCATACTGCTATTTATTCTTTTACTTCTGCTTGCTGTATAATTGATAAATTCAAAAACCAAAAATATATCTATTGTATATCATTCTCCAGACCATACAGCAAACTATGTCTTACAATAATTTCTTTTGAGATGGAGTCTTGGGTAGTTCAGTCTAACCTTAAAATTACCATATTGCCCAGATTGATCTTGAACTCACAATCTTCCTGCCTTTGCCTCCTGGGTGCTGGGATTATAGGCACCACACACTGCTTTTAGTATCATTTTAAAGTTCCTCAAAGACTTTCTCGTAAGGCTTGACATCACCATGATCTATTGTAGAGAGCAAAGTGTTATTAGGAGAGGCAATCTGCCAAAAGCCCTGAATGTCCTTGTTTGTTCTTACTGCATATGCCAAGAATGTTGGGCCCTGAGCACACATTACCCAGGCAGATAATTTTTCAGCTGTGCTTACAGTAAGCAACCTTGAAGTATGAGGTAACATCTTTCCTCAGCCACAGAAAAGGGTTGTGATTTCTCTGAAAATAGTAAGGAACTTAAACATCTATCTCAGGCCCTTTGTCACTGTAAGAGCATTTGGGAATCAGAGAGACAGTACAAATCAACACGAAGTTCTAGTTAAGGCTTTTCTATACTATAATAAGATCCTTAGTCTCTGACCCAGCACTTTTAGTGTCTTCTGTCTGCATCCACTGAAAAATAGCAGGCTAACTTGTTAGCTTATAACTAGGATAAAGCCTTAGATTGTGTACTGTTCCTGACAGGTGCTTGAAGATAATATTCCTCATGCAATTATGCTATGAAATCTTTTTCCTACCTGTATAATTTTTGGCATGTACCACCAAGGCCATTAACACTGTGTTTCTACTTAATGTTTTCCTTCAAACTGACTCGCTTATATAATTTGAAGTTTTTCTAGAAATGAAAGTTTATAATATGACCCTTAACCTGAATTATCTTCATGCTTTAACCCAAAAGTAGTTAATACATATTCGAATAAATACACGGGCATTACAATTTAAATTATGTACATGCTATCTATAACCACTCTCCCCTTCCATCTAATCCTTCTTCCTTAACATAAGCTATCTGAGTACATCTAAAGCTATCATATCAGGAGACATAGATTCCTGCAACCAATGTTTCTGTTTAGTGAGTATTCTGAGTGAGTGCTTTGTTTCTTTGGAAAAGTGCCCTTCAACTTCTCCTGATAAGAGAAAGAAGTCTAGTGTTTTAATGTGCAGCAATGGGAATTTTCCCTTTCAGATAAGTTTGCCCTTGGCAGCCCAGCCACCAGCCTTATAAATTTCCTACTGCAGTTTGGAGCAGAAAAATCAAAGGAATATCCACCCTAGCGAAGAGTGTATTAGGATTGAGACATTACACACCCTGCTCCTGATTGCCTTCCAGGCTTCGGAAAACAGGATTTACTTCTTTCTTTAAAATTGACACTGCATGTCCCCAGAATCGTACCTTACTCCAGACTAAATCCCAGCCTCATCATCATCTGCCCAGTTGTCATAACCTTGAAGAAAGGAAATGAAGAGCTCCCAAAAAGAGCATCATAAAGGAAAATTATATACATGTGGCACATTGCCATAGTATATTGCTTCCAGGCAGGGGTGAGAACAGTCTCAAATAGGACTTCAGCCTCCCTATAAAATTTATACAAGTATTGGGGTACCTGTTGAACCTGAGGGGATAACCTGTCCTCAGCCTGCAGGGGAGAAATTACTCACTATAAGGAAGCAGGAGTCAGTAATACCAAATGGCATCTTCACATCCAGGAAAGAAATTATGTGAGAGCCTAAATTGTTATTCAGACTCATGTTCAGGTCAAACTCTTACATGAGCCCGTTCTCTCTTGGAACCTTATAAAAGGAAATTAAGATCCCAGGGAACTGAAATTTGTAGAAATGTGAGAGGACTGGAACACCATGCTAGTATCAAAAGCAGCTAGATGGGGGTCAAGAGAGGCAGAAAGAACTATGTAGCACTCACATAACAGTTGTTTGAGCTTGTTCTCAAACACAGGATGAGTATTACTTATTCTATGCTTCCAAACAGCAGAAACCAATCTGTAGCATTTGGATCCTCCTGCCAAGAACAAATGGGGATAAAACCCTGTCGACCAGCTCTGTGCCTTATTTGACCACCACAACGTTATTATGTTTCTTATTGCATATGAGGATAGATGTAAATTTTAATCTTTTAACTCAGTGGTTCTAAAATTGTCAATGAATAACAAGTGCCTCAGTGGTTTTAAAAATAAGTTGATGTGCTGTTGGATGCTTATTTTTAGTTATAAAACCTTTATTATTTTTAGCAAGAATAATGCGTGTTCATTTTAGGAATATGGCAAATACAAATAAGCAGAAGAAAAATCATTCATCTTTGACAAGTTTATATGTGCATATATGTAACATACAAAGGTACTCCTGTCTTTCAAAATATGATATTCCCATATTATTTTGTAACCTTTTCTCATTTTGTATCCCATCAGAAGCTCATTTTGTTGGGGTTTTTCTTTTTTTTTTTTTACAAATCAGTAAAGCTCTTCTGTTAAAAGCCAGAGACTTATAGATTGGTTCAAATATAATCAACAGTAAGATACAGACAACAAGAGATACAGCTAAAGCCACTAACAGCAACAGATTCAAAGGAGGAAGATGGGCAAAGGTCTTATCGGGAAAATGCTAATCAAAAGAAAGCTAGATTGCAATGGTAACGTCAGATAAAATGGAAACGAAGCCAAGCTACATTAAATAGGGGTAAGGATGGCTTCGATTAGCCTTCCAACGCATCACTATTAGTTTGTTTCTCACTCTCCTGATCTCGTCTAGCTCATCCACATCTCTAAACATATCTTCACTGCTCAGATGCCTGTTGTGTATATCCTCCTTAAAATCCTGAAGAGACTGAATCAGCCTCTCCCGAAAAGTTTCTTCGGATTTTTCCTCCTCCTCAGGTTCCTCCCCCTCCTCTGGCTTTTCCTCAGGCTTTGGCTCTTCCTCCGGCTTTGGCTCATCCTCCTTTTCAAGGTTTCCTTCCATTTTTTGGCAGGGCTTCATCTTGTGTACGCTTCTCTTCTTTGCTGCTTCCTGCAGAATACGTGAATGCAATTATTTCTAGGAAGCAAGGAGGACAGTAGATGGAAGACTTGGTAAATGTGCAGGTGCTGTGCACAAAGGTCTCCTCACCGTTTCCTCACGCCCTCCCCAGGCCCCCACCCACCGCCCCACTCTCGCCCCTCCCTCTCTCCCTCTCTCCCCCTCTCCCTCTCTCCCCCCTCCCTCTCTCCCCTTCCCTCTTTCCCCTGTCTCCTTCCCCACCCTTATTTGGTCTCACTGCCCTCACCAGATACCTTCCACCTGAGAAACCCAGTCCGCAATCAAGGTTTCCCTGTCCCCGCCCCTCTTACCTCCATTTTCCACCCCCTCCCCTCTCTAGTCCCTCCCTCAAGCATTTTCCAAGGCCTTCCTTCCCGCCTCCCGCCCCAGCCCTCCACGAATCTTTCTCCCCCACAGGCCTAACACAGGGCCCTCCGAAGAGGGGGGAGGTTTTTGGAGGGGGAAGGGTGAGGGGACTGGGGCCTTCAGCCTCTGCAGGCCTTCACCTACCCATATCCTGGGGAGTCTTTTATAAAGTTCCCTGTCACTTACCAGGTACGAATCTGGTCGCTTTCTTTTTCCGACTTATTTTAGCCTGGAGCCGTACAAAGAATAAACCTGCAGGCAAACGGAGAAGGGAGGGGATGTTGGGGGTGGGGCAAGCAAGCTCTCGGTGCTCAGTAGAGCAGCACCACAGAACCAGCTCACGGAGCTTTCCTTATTTAAGGTCTTGCTTATGGAAGTTTCCCACCCTTTGTTTCCCATAGGACTCCTCCTTCCCACCCCGCAAGTTAGCTTGTCTTTCTCACCAGACAGAGGGTAAAAAGGGGATATTATTTCCCAACTATCTGTAGATCCAAGACGGGGTTTGGAAAGCAAAGTGGGTGTTCAAAATCTCAGAGTATGATTATTTTTGAATCGTCACAGATCCCCTTGTATTCTTTTAGGACCCCCCCCCCCCGTCCTTTCACAAGTGTCCTTTCGTGAAGAATTGAAGGTAAAGGGTGGAGGGACAGATTTAACTAGGACTCAAGTCACTACCCTAGACCACCCAGCACTACAAAAATCCCAGCAGTATCGCTTAAAACACTAACCTGCTGAATTCAAGCAAGCTGTCTCCTCTTACCGCTGGCCTCTCACACCACCGCCTGCAAGGCTGAAGAGAGCTGGTACCCAGATGGAAACAAGGACCAGACTAGCAAGATTTCTGCACACGTCGACTCCTGGTCACATGAGATCTACGTCACCAGTGAGGTCCGGTCCCCAATCTCCACTCCCACAAAAAGCGCGGCAGATGTGGCCCCGCCCTCCGCTCTCTCATCTACCACCCCCTCCCCAAACACACATTTGGCCTTGTCAGTCTTTTCTGGAGGAAAAAAAAGAATGTGCGGGTTGGTTTATTTTTGTTGTTGTTCTTTTTGCAGCTCTCTGATTACTAAAGGGGAGCTTCTTATTTTCTGAAGCTATGGAACTTTTCTGCTTCTTTTAATAACAGGCCCTTCCTGTCTCCCGCTCCTGCCAGTATCACTAACCCCCCCACCTAGCTTTCCTTAGCCACTCCCTCTTCATCTAAAAAACGTACTCCTTTGTTGCGGAGCCAGGTAGGTAGGTCAGAAATCAGCGGGAAAGGGTGAATCTTGAAACAGAAGTGGGACTTTTTTGGGGGGGTAGGGGCAACTTAAACTTTATTCTTAATATGTCTGTAGTCTTTTCAAAAGTAATGTTTTACAGTCAGAAGTGACAGCCAAATTACTTTAGATACATGCGTGAATTCATACATGTACATTACTTAGACTAGTGCCTGGTGTATAGTAAATCCTTTCAAAGTATATGTCTTTAAATTTTTTATTATATTGTGATGTTACTTGGGGGAATTATTTAAAATGAAGAAAAATCATGTTTAACTCTAGAGGCCTGGTGATGGTATTGCCAAGAAGTTGTGTTGCCTGAAGAAACACTGCTTGATTATTTGCCATTATATATTGTTAGCAAACAATCTTAAAGAAAACTTTCAATATTTACTTATTCCCATTTTATTTCATATAAACATATATATATATATAATCTCTGAGAAGCAAGTGCATTTGAGACATAGATTACAGATAACTCAATAGTCAATAGTCAATAGTCAATAGCTTCCATGTTCTGGAAAGAACACTGGAGTGAGACTCTTTATGTTCCCCTTTATCAGGAGGCCTCTAGCTTCTTTATTTCTTAATTGACTTTAAAAGTCAAGTTCCTAGTTTTGTGATGATAATGATTGCTTAGGTTAGGGACTTGAAAGCCTCTATAGGTGAAAGTGTTGGCTGTTCACTTTGTTACATATACCCAGTGAGTGTCTAAAATGCCTTTAAAAATATTTTAAAACTTGGCATTGCTGCCTTCATGCTGTATCTTCTGTTTGGTTACCTTAACCTTCGAGTCAGATTTCTGCTCAATTTTACATGTAGACATAGCAGTAATTTAAGATGTGGTTTGTTTAGAACAATAATACAAGGTTAATTTGGCCTAAATTTGCACAATATGTTCCCTCTCCAAACCTACAGACCAAGATACGAGGAACTAAGACAATATTCCATTCTTGGCCATTGGAATAGAGAAGTCTCCAGTAAACAGTCCCCTACTGCCCATTACCTCTCTTCCTTTTCCTCTCTAAAAAGCTGCTTTGCATTCCTGAATCCACTAAAATAATCTTTTATTGGCAATAGCTTCTCATTTTCTTTGCTTTGTTAGCATTCCAAGTGCAATCTTTCCCTTGCTTCCAAAACATATGCTTGAATCGTTCTCAAGCCACAAGTAATGATCTTGCATTTAGTAAACACCTTGACATTTGTATGTTGGAAACTTGGTCCCCAGTGTGGTAACATGGGACGTGATGGAACCTTTAAAAAGTGCAGTCCAGTAGGAGGCCATTAGGTCACTGAATGGTATTGCCTTTGACGGGAACTGACGAAATTCTGAAGGAACTCTGGTTATTTCTCACAAAAGGGTTGTTATGAAAGGGCAAGGCTGAGTCACCAACTTTGATTACTCTCCAGCTTCCTCTTGTCTTTCTCACAAATATACCTGCCATGTTGTCATCCGTCAGGCTAGGACATAGCCAATAAGTCTTCACCATAGAAGTCAAAGCCCTTGAGTCTCAGACACTAAATGCTAAATAAACTGCTTTTTTTGGTAAAGTATTCAGCCTTGCAATTTCATTACAGTAACAGAACTCGAACTAATACAGTCTGCGCCAAACTGATTGAAAGATTCTCAGTAAGGTCTACTCCCTGTATTGAGCTTATCTCCCATATCAGTTACTTTTCTCCTTGCTGAGATAAAACATATGGCAAACAAACTTTAGGAAGGATTTTTTTTGACTCATAGCCTATGAGAACAGTCCGTCATGGAAGGAATGGTACAACTACAAGTGCTCAAAACAGCTAGTCAAATTGCATCTGTAGTTAGGAAGAAGAGAGAGAAAGAGAGAGGCTGATGCTGTGCTTACCTTCACAACTTTGTTTGCAGTCTGTAATCCTAACCAATGGAATGCTGCCACTCAGTGTTCAGTGGCTTTTCCTCCTTAGTTAAATATATCTGGAAACAACCTAGTAGACATGTCTAGAAGTTTGTCTCCCAGGTAATTCTGATGACTGTCTTCATAAGGGTGGATCATATCTACATACCTTGTATCTTCACTCCTAACCTAAGAGCTAGGGGTAACAAAAATTGGTGTGTCTATAGGCGAAGAGCCTTCTTCATATAGGTCATTTAGAGAAAGGCAAAAGGAGAGGAGGCCATCAGACCTCGACACAGGTCAAAAGAGGTGAGCTTGAGTTTCAGAGGATGGGGTGGATATAGATGGAAAGAAGAAAAGGAAACTAGTCCAGTTGCACCCAGGTGCTATGCCCTACTATTTGCTATCTGACCCCATTGTATGGTTTCTTGCTGCTCATTTGTTCCTTAGTAGTAGTATGTTGATAGTGGGTATGGCTGAAAATAGGTTCAATCCAAGCACGTTATGGTATACTCTACTACACCAAGAATTTTCTAGTTACTGTACAGATCCCAGACTCTAAATATCTTTATCTTTCTAAACAGCAAGAGTGTAGAATATTTCTCCCCTTTGAGAATGTAAATCTATTCCTATGTATTCATCTTTAGAAAATGTTTTATGATAATCACAATGATTTACTACAATAAAATTTGTAGGCTTGAATTCCCAGCACTGATTCTTTGGCTTGAACATGAATAAGCAGTGGGAAGCACCAGGTGAAAAGCAGCCATAAAAGAGCAGAAGGAGAATAATTTGTTCAACTGTAAAGTAGACTTAACCACAAGCATGTGCACATGCATGTATATATGTTTGTAAATCCTGGGTTCTCCTAGATAATTTTATTACAGGATAAATAAGCCCCTACCATTAGGTGAAGTGTTATTGACAGTTGATGGCTTCTGGGAGAGGGACACTTAGATTATTTTAAGTGTGCCTCCTGGTAGGTTGACCATGTCCCCAGTGGACAGTCCCACATTCTTTCCTGGACTCCATGGCACTTACACATCATGTGCTATACAGTCATACACATAAATTAACAAAAGCTAAAAACCTATTTTAAATGTTCACCAATCTGGCTATGGTGGCTCTTATTTGTAATCCTTCATTATGTATAATGTACTCATACATGTAAATAGTATGTGTAAAACATAAAGATACATATATAAATTTTAAATGTGTATGTATCCAGAGTCTATGACTAAAGTCAAGGACCCCTATGGAAGAGTTAGGGTGAGGACTGGAGGAGCTGAAGCAACCCTATAGGAAGACCAACAGTGTCAACTAACCCAGACCCCTGAGAGGTCCCAGAGACTAAGGGCTGCCTTGTCAGTGGGAGGGGATTCTCCAATCCTATAGAGACTTGATGCCCCAGGGGAGGACAATTCAGGGAGTGGTGGGGTTAGGTGGGGGGAGCACCCTCTCAGAGACAAAGAGGTGATGGGGTGAAGAACTCTTGGAGGGGAGCAGGAAGAGGGGCAACATTTGGAATATACATAAATGAAACAATTTTTTTAAAAAAGTCATCTGACAAAGAAAAGAGCAACATCATTGACACAAAATCTTCTGGGAAATATTTCTTCAGAATCAGCACACAGAAGCTGTGGTTCTGTGTTGGGTGAGGCTGTGCATCTCGAGCTGATAGTTGAATTTTGGAGATAGAAAAGAGTCTCCTATGTGCTACTGGCTTTGGCAGCAAGGAGCTGCAAGACTGAGGGGGTCATTGAAAGCAGCTGAGACTTCACCCTGTATGGTTTAAGTCCTGGAAGAGAGGTCAGGAAAAGCCATCGCTGAAGGTGCAGTACAGCCCAGTTTCAGTGGAGACCCCAGAATATTGGAGATGCCAAGACTGTGTGCTAACCACTATGACCACAGCAGATGTGGAGAGAAACTGGTCTGAGCCTTAGAGTCAAACAGGGTGTGCTGCAGATAGCAGGGCTGTGTAAGCCCTTCACAGCCCAGTAGGTTGTGAGTGAATTCCAGATGTTGGACACTGAACTGTTTTCAGTATTGGAGTTTGTCTTTGCTTTTTTTTTTTTTTTTTTTTTTGGTTTTTCGAGACAGGGTTTCTCTGCATAGTCCTGGCTGTCCTGGAACTCACTCTGTAGACCAGGCTGGCCTCGAACTCAGAAATCCGCCTGTCTCTGCCTCCCAAGTGCTGGGATTAAAGGCGTGCGCCACCACCGCCCGGCTTTGTCTTTGCTTTGTTTTGATTGTTACTGTGCCCATGTCCTTCCCTCTTGGAATAAGAAAGCACTTGTTTTCAATTTGACAGGTATTAGATTTCTGAAGCACTCACTATAATGATAGATTTCTGAGACAGTTTAAAGATACAAGGGACAGAAGAGAGACCAGGTTTGTTCTAACAACAGGAGTCCACAATTGACTTTTGATTTTTAGAGACACTTGAATAATTTAGACATAACTTTTTGAGTTTTTTTTCTGGTTTGCTTGATTATTTGTTGTTTTTTCAAGACAGGGTTTCTCTGTGTAGCCCTGGCTGTCCCAGAACACACCCTGTAGACCAGGCTGGCCTCAAACTCACAGATATCTGCCTGCATCTGCCTCCTGAGTGCTGGGATTAAAAGCATGCACCACTGCCAAGCACGTTTCAACTTTAAAAGACTTCCAGTCTTTAAAAATTCAAAACCAATCCTATTTCCCTTACCCTAAATATTTTACTTAATGAGTGGT